AAATCTTTATTTTATTATTTTTTTAAACATAAGACAAATTGTTCCAATTTATTATGCATGAAAGAAAAGAGACTAAACAAGCAAGAGTTTAAAATTGAAAAGTAATGCGAAAATTAAATATGAGATAAATACCGATTTACCTGTCGGCGAGGGCTCATTATTTCAAGTCAATTGAGCATGACTTCTCCATTGAATTCAGCTTGAATTTGCATCTTCCAATCCCAGAGATGAGGATATGGATTTTTTGCCCAGCATGATTGTTTTGGACTTGGAGGTGTATGCTTCACCTCCTTCTCAATCAAGTTTCATTTCTCATCCTTGCAAAGGTTAGTGGACAATACATACTTGAAGGATTTCTTAAAGAAATGAGGGTAATTGTTGCTATTGGAGCCAAAGGTTTTCTTTTATGCTAACAACATGATGGTGCTTTTTTGAGTTAGCAAAGATCCTTTTTCCCATAATAGCTAGTGGTAAACTATATTAGTAGACAGCAAGGTTAATATCAAAATCTTTACGCCAATTGCTTCCCCGGCAATGGCGCCAGAAAGCTTGTTGACATTTCTTAACGTCGCTACCAGGTTTTGTATTCCTCGGCAACAGCGCTAGAAAAAGCTTGTTGGTATTTATTAACGCACACAGATAAATCCGTAAACAAACGGATACCGATGTAGCTTTCACCCAAGAGTATTCCAGGGTATCGTATTTATCCACAAGGAAGCAATGGTTAAAGAAGGTGATAGTTAACCATCATGTATCTACTAACTTAGTATACCGACTAAACTAAAGTGGGGTAAGTGATATACAATAAAATAGAGTGACACACAAGAAGTTCTACTCCAGAAAGGATAAAGTGAAAGCATAGCTAAATGGGAGGACAATGAGTGAGGGAGTTTCCTAAGTTCTTCTCTATATTCTAGAGCAGACTAGACGAGATATTCCTATGCACTTCTCTATGACTATAGTTCTATTCTAGTACACATTAGATGGGATAACTGAGGAATGGGTAAAACATAGTGATCACACAATAACATTTTGGAGCAACAATACCTTTCCAACCCTCGAATGAGGTGAGAAAGAGTGGTCAGGGGAAGGCTACCAAAAAGCTCTACGAAAACACCAATCTGACCGTGGTGGATTACAAAGGCCTTATAGAGCTATCACCTCTAGGCTACCACAACTATCCGTGGGATTAGGTGCAAACTCAGGTAAGCACTAGACTAGACACCATGTTTATGCTAACGATTACTACTCTAGTCATGATCTATAACTAGAGCACTCGATGCGAGCGGAGATCCTATGCTAAGGTGAGATACAAGTATACCAACCACACTTAGCTAAACAACTAAGGCATGAACTAAATAAACATCAAAGGCATACGAGTAAATAGAGAAGATAAATATATATTAAAGCAAGAATCTTACAAAGGAAAGATACAAGAGCATACCAGACCTCCGAAGACTCCTCCAGAACCGGAGCATAGCTCAACTCTCCCTAGCTCCCAACTCACTATTCTAATTCTACTTCTTGAGAAAGTAGAAAGAGCTTCTCTTATGGTGTGTGTTACAAGTGAGGGGTGAGGGTCCTATTTATAGTGCTAGGTGGAGTAGGGGCTACTCCAACGCCACATCAGCGATCCGCGTGACGTTCCTTGGCCATCGTTGGATGAAACCGCCATAGAATTGACTTGTAATGGACGCTTGAGATCATCTGAGGTGCATGGCGGCATGCTGGAAGTCGGTGGAGGTGATTGGTCCACTAAGGGGCATCGGGTGGCTTGGTGAGGGCACCGGCCAGTGCCTCACTGAGGGCTGGGCCCTCCATCTTCTGTGCGGTGCCCCCCAGGTGATGTAGAGTGTGGGTATGAGTGATTTTTGTGCATTTGGTCACCGGCGGTTAGATGGTGGGACTGTGGATCCTTGTACTTCCATCTTGGAACGTTGATCGACCAACCGACTTGTCACCAACGAATGGATTCACTTGGGAGTGTGTTGCTGCGGATCGGCGACGTGGAGGGGGGTTGGCCACGTCGGCCGACACCTAAGTGGGGCCGGGTGGTGCCTAGGTGGAGCCGAGCGGCACCTCCATGTGGGCCATGGCCCCCCTGATGCGTGGACTGCCTTCTAGAAGCCTTATATTGATGTGTGTTGACTTTTTTTTGCCCTTGCATGCATAATCTTCCAAGTACAAGTGGAACCAAGTAAAATCATAATATAATTGTTGCTTTTATCTTGATTTTATGATCAAATGAATATCATGTTGATGGACATAAGTGATGAATATGGACCGTCAATAATCATCCAGAGGCATCATACGAGAGTAGGTATCCGTCCCTGGGTCGCCGATCGTCTTGTTCTGGGGGAGTTGGTGGCTACGATCCTGGGCTCCTGGGTCATGGCCCTCGTTGGCTTGGACGGTCCTCCAAGTCAAAGCCTTCGTCACGGATCCCATCCCGTAGTGGGTGGGATCGTACATACGTCTTGTCGAGTCGTATTTGGATGGTGGTTCTCTATACCTGCTGTCATCGCTTGGTGGTGTTGTCTTGTCTGTCTTTGCGTGGCATAGGGATAAGCGTCTGGCCGGGACCGAGGTGACCGTTGTCCCCTCGGTCCTTGCGAAGGGGTCGATCACGGTGTGTCTGCTCTTGTCGAGCGAGCACGCTTAGGTGAAACTCCGCCTCTCCTGTACCTCCTCCCAAGGGTCGAGGCGGTGGAGAGGTCATGAATCTTTGTGCTTGCGTGAGAGCTAAAGCGGAGAAAGAGGTCATGGTAGACCCCATCCTCATCGCGCTTTCTGGTTAAGCTTAGCTTAGCTAGGCCTCGGTCGTTTGGGCTCAAGCTGGCTTTTATATCATGGGCCGCTCGGCCTGCTGATTAGTCGATGCCTTGAGACACCCGGGGATCATAATCCCGATAGTTAGGTAAGCGACTTAAGAGGGAGGCGATCCTGACACTAGAGTTGCTCTTCACGATCCCTAAGAGGATGAGCACCAAGTCTCTTACAAATCTTTCACCAAAGCCCCCACACAATCACAAAGCAGTGCTCATGGTGTCCCGCTGCTCCAAGCCATCTAGGTGGTGGCAACTACCAAAATTAATAAGAACACCACACAACAACAATGATGAAACTAGTGCCACAAGATGCTAACTCACAAAGCAATGCACTATATCACTCCTAATCTCACCCCAAATGTAATCTCTCATGTGATTATGTGAGTGGAGTGTGTTCTTGAGCTATAGGATACTATCACTCAAAAGTAGGGAGTTCATTTCGCTATTAATGTCATCTTGACTCATTTTGACATGAACTTTAATCTATATTCAAGCCTTCGGACAATCTATCTTTCTCAAGCACTTAAATGCTAACATCCATTTACTTCTCATCCCACTTACTTCTCATCCCACCTAGCCTCTACTATTTTTTTGAAACTTCTCATTAGTAGCCACCTTCAGTTCTGACCCACTTTCTTTGTCAACACCCCATACAATCAGTTGATGGACCCTACCCCAAATTATCTTGCTAGCCATTTCATCAACAAATTTAAAGAGAGAACAATGACTAGTTAGATCAATCCAAACATCATGGTCCCGATCATCCATTTCAAGCATTCCATATTCTACATTGATTGTGTACTTAGCAATGCTAACATGAATTCTAAATGCTTTGACAAGATTGATCTTGACGACATCATAAACACATAATCAACTTGGAGTTAGGACACATCCAACTCCATAAAACTACAAACACATGCATCTAGTCATTAGTCATAGTGCATATGTGAAATTACCAAGGAGGGTAGTAACTTGACTTCATCTTAAAACTAACACAAATACACTATATCCAATTTTCTACCAATCATGATCTCTCCCACAAGACGAAGACACGAAATCAAGAACACGGGGCGGGCACAAGTCTCGTCAAAACCCTAGCAACACAAGTTGATTCACGTAGAATGGGAGAACAAGATCCAAACTATACCTAATCCGATTTGTCATCCAATGGGGAAGAACTCTTTTGTTGATGAAACGGAAAGGATACAACACGTAGGAAAGAGAATAGAGGAGAGGGAACGACTGTATGGGTGGAGTGGAGGGAGCGTTTGACAAGGGGAGACGAGTTCGAGCCGAAAGAAAGGCTGTGAGGACAAATAAGTAATTTCGCGTGTCCTCTTGGGGTTTCCAAAGGCATTGCCACTAGCTGATGCACGTGGAGGCTATTTAACTTTTCCTCACCTCACCTTGCTTTGCTAGGAAATAGAAAGAGAAACCGTCTGCTAGCTTGTCTTTGGACTTGTGCAAGTAAGAAAATACGCCCTCTGTCCCAAAATTAATATCGTATAGGGTTTTGTGCTGGCCAAACATTCTTAAGTTTGACTAAGTTTATAGAAATGATTAATCTAATAATACTTAATATGCACCATAAATAGTATTTTTCTCTTGTATATATTTGATCAAAGTTTAAAAATATTTGATTTCTTGAAAAGTGAAAATAATACTTTTTTAAGGACCGAGGGAGCACCTTGCTATCATAGGAGAACCAGTCTGGCTAGCTCCCGTCGCTAAAGTAAGGCTAGCCCTCACTAGTAAGATAAGACAATCCTTGTCTCAAAATCAAACTTGCTCTAAAGTCCTCCTTAATCCAAGGTTTAAAATTTAGTCATTAAACTTTAAACCACTTGAGCTCTTGAGGACCGAAAGTCTAAACTAAAATTTGGCCAACCAAAAAGAATATTTTAAACCATATAATAATTGAACTAAAATAATGTAAAGCATTTGTTCTCAACTTTAACCGACAAAATTTTAAACCAGAAAATTTGAACGGCCCTAGATCTATCGAAATTGAACTATTAGCATGTAGGTGATTTCTAATTTGAGTTCTTATCGCAGCACTGAAAACCAACGGCGAAGATTGCTTGCTCGACTCGACCCCGCAACTAGTCTCCCACCTCGCCGAGTCGCCGCCGTGTGCCCATCTGCCGTCCTCCCTCCGCTTCTGCCGCAGCCATGAACCCTTCCATGGCACCGCCTCCGCCGCGAAACCCTAACTCCTCTTCGTCATCCGCCTCCATGTCGCCGCCTCCGCACCCAAACCCCTCGCTGCCGACGGCGCGGCCGGAGGCGGCGTCCGAGCCCGACTTGTCCTCAGCGGAGGTGATCGGTCGCGCTGACCCTAGCACATCCTCCTCGATGCCGCCATCACCGCCCCCAAAACCCGGTCCGCCGGCACCGCAGCTGGAGGCGGAGGCGGCGGGGGCTGAGGGAAGCGCTTCCCCGAGCCCCAGCGTGAGCGACTCGTCAGCGAAGGAGGCGCCCAACACCAGCGGGCCCTCCTCCGGCAACACCGTGATGGAGGAAGCGGCCGCGTTGCCAGTGGAGCGGCAGAGGCAGCAGAGGGCGCGCGCGCCGTACTCCATTCCCGAGTGGAGCACCGCGCCGAGTCACCCCTTCTTCCTTGAGGTGCTCAAGGACGGGACGATCGTTGATCAGCTTGACGTGTGAGTCTGCAATTCCCATCCTGTCATCAGTTCTCTCTTAATTTAGTGATCTTTTATTTCGTGATTCAGTGGTTGTTTAGTTGTGTGAAATGAGTAGCCCTCAGTACCCAAACGAGCGTTAAGGTTGCTTACACTATTGCTGCTGAGATGAAGGTTATGTTGTTTGCTGGTATTACCAAGACTAGGGTTGGTGGAATGACCCGTATTACACATATGTTGCAGGTCCAAGAAAGGAGCTTACATGTTCGGTCGAATTGATCTGTGCGATTTTGTATTGGAGCATCCAACCGTTTCTCGATTCCATGCTGGTACGTTTTAGCCATTCTCTTTATCAGTCTTGACTTAGCCATAGTTTGCGAAAGGAAGAATTGGTTATGGCACTGATAGAATGGTGTTTTCAAAATGAACCATTACATGAAAACGGCATCCTGTCGTTAGCAGTTAACTCTGTGAACTCATCCATCGAAGCCTACAAGCCAGCAGACATCTTCTCCCTCCTCCATCCGTCTGCCACTTGCCCTGATCTTCTTCTCCTTCATACCTCTCTCTCTCTCTCTCTCTCTCTCTCTCTCTCTCTATCTCTCTCTCTCCTCCCTCCCTCTCACACATTGCAGGCCAGCAGCTTCCGTCCCATGACTCCTAGCCGCCGCCTCGTCCCAGTAGCTGGCCTGCACATGCTATTGGTTATATCTCAACTAGTGATGGTGGACACTGACAACGTAAGGTGAAGTAGCAAATTAAGTTTTATTTGTTATGATACTAACATGTTATGAACAAGGCCATGTTTTTTCTTGAGGAGCTAGCATTTACTTAAGAAGCTTTAACATATGGATGTTACTATCCCTATATTTTAGAAAGAAATGTAAAAGCAAACTTGGTAGATTGGGTTAACACTGTTGCACATTTGATTTCTTCCTTAAACAAGTGCTTCTAGTATATTTCCCTTATATAAAAATTTGTTACTTGAAATGCTCTCTTTGTGGGCAATATTCCTCTTATTTTGATGTCTACAAATTTATGGACTTCGTCACAATGGATTTCTTTTTAGTGCCTAAGCAGTCCACTCATGAATTGCTTTTATGTCATTTTATTAGTTTTGCAGTTTAGAAATGATGGGAAGGTTTTCCTTTATGATCTTGGAAGCACACATGGATCCTTTATCAATAAAAGTCTGGTAATATGTATTCTGAATAAATCTTCTATGGTTTTAATATCTTTATACTTTACATAATGAAACTACATTAATGCATTCTGTCATTTCACTTTGATTTTTAATAAGAAAGCAGTGTTGATTTGTGTTGGTAGTATACTTGCACTCATATGTTGCTGTACTATATTTATTTGTGGTGTTGCACTGCCAATTTACACTGTAAATTTGCCACGTTTATGACCTTACAAAAAAAATTAAACAGTTTGTATCCTATGCTCTGTTTTATGCCCGTACATCCCATTTCTTTTTGGAAAAGGTAACAACAGATTAATTTGTCACATGTTCATTTTCTCTCGTACTCTTTACTTCTTTAGAGTCACATAAGGAGAATACACTGGGTTGTTGAATAGTATCTGCAATGCTAATGCTGTAATCTCTTAAAGTTAACCTTTTAGGGCCTGTTTGGAACACGGGAAAAAAAAAATCCTGTTCCTGCGTTTTCTCTTTGAAATTGAACTGATTTCTGTGAAATTTCTGCGTTCCAAACATGCTGGCTGGCCTGTGTTTCTATATATCCTTTCAAATTATTGGACTTCCCTGTTTATTGCTTATTGAAGGGCGGGCCTGGTGCAAGCGGTAGAGTCTTACCGCCTGTCACCGGAAGGTCCCGGGTTCGAGTCGCGGTCTCCTCGCATTGCACAGGCGAGGGTAAGGCTTGCCACTAACACCCTTCCCCAGACCCCGCACAGAGCGGGAGCTCTCTGCACTGGGTACGCCTTGTTTATTGCTTATTATACTTTTTGATGATATGAACTGAACTAACAGATCAAGAAGAAGCTGTACACAGAGATTCATGTTGGAGATGTAATTCGATTTGGGCAGTAAGTAAGCTTGTTAACTAACTATTTGCCCATTCCTTGTATTCTATTCTAGAGAACTTTCTTTCTCTTTTCTGTTTATCTTCTATTTTATAAACAGAAGTTCCTTCATAAATTGCTGCACTGTGGTGTTCATTTATTCCCAATGCTTTCTCTCTAGGGCTTCTTATGTCTGCATATAAACAACTTGGTTGCATACCATTCTTATTCCAGAGTTAAGCATATTCTCTGGTCAAACTAATACACACAACAGGCATTGGTAGTTTGATATATTAATGTTAAAACAGTGTTTATATTCGTGTGGCTAAAGCTTCATGGCTTCACCATTTCTTTTTGTTTTACTAGGGTTCAATGTTGTGTGGTGGTGTGAGTTTTGGGTGCGTTGTATATTTTATGTTCTTCTTGAGTTCTTGATTCAATGATAGTGCAGTTCTCTTGCGTATGCAAGAAAAATATCTACTGTGGTTATGGTTTACTCAGTATGCATATTAGATTCTGTAAAACTAGGACTGGATTATATACTTGACAATTGTCCTTCAAATATAAATAGAAAGTCAGAAAGGTTGCAGAAGGATATAATGTTGGTAAATAAAAATGCCACTTTTTATCTGTAATTTCGTGTCATGTCCCTGTTAGTTCTTGTACTAAGTTAATTTTGCTTTCCTTCGATTATTATAAGGTTGTACCTTTTGGGAACCTGTTTACATTTCTCTATTGATCTGGTGTCCTTTTTTTTTTCACTTACTGGGACTCACTTAGCTCTTATGTATTAACTAGATCATCACGGTTGTACATTTTTCAAGGACCATCTGAGCTAATGCCTCCAGTAAGATTTTGAAGCTCAATCAGCTCATCTACCACTCTTAATTTTTCTCATTTCTGAATATTTACTTTCTTGCTGTCAAAAGTGAATTGACAATGCAACAAGTAAGCCTGTTGCTCTCTATTTCTACTTCATGATGTTGCATCAACAACAAAGTCCTTTATTGCCAAGCAAGTTGGTGTAGGCTAGATACAAAACCCTACACAATAGTAAATAAATAAATAAATAAATAAAACAGTAAAAATGACACAAAGGTATTAGTTATATTAGTATAATGAGAGTGAGTTCAGATGAAAAAAGCAAACAAGATTAAATACATTATGTTCCTCTTTTGATTTGGTAATACTTCTGATATTGTATTGGTTTATTCAATAGTAAATCAGGAAAAACGTGCTATATGATTTGTTTGCCTTTGGATTTCGACACTGTTTTTTAGGTTCTTTTGAGCAGTGTATGGGCCATGGTTTGTAATGTTAGTCGCTGAATTATCACTCTTGGTAGTAGGAGAATTCTTACTCTCATCAAGAGAGGATGACACTAGGAGTTGGGGCAATTTTCTTGTCTATTTCTCACACAAACTCACACAAATGCCATACCAACCTGAGGGGTTGGGGTTACATATTTATAGGCTGCTAGCCAGCCAAGCATATGCCAAGATGCTAGTCTAAGATGCTAATATGCATGCTGTCCTCTAGTCTAAGATCTTTGTCCTCTAAGATCTCCTCTAGTCTAAGATGCTTTGTCCTGAAATGTAAAAACAGCCACAAGGACCATGTGAGCAAAGACAACCCCACAAAGACCAACCACATGAGACTTATCCATTATTCTCCCCTAAGTCTTGTGCGTGCGTCTTGTGGGAGAGTTGAATCATCCAGTCCCGGAGCAGAGCTCAAGGAACTTGATCCTCCCAAGGGGCTTGGTGAGCGCAGTCCGCCATGGTGGTCCTTGGTGTTGATGTAGCTCGCCTTGATGCTCCCTTCCTCCAAGCGACCTCGGATGAAGTGGTACCTCACCCGGATGTGCTTCTTTGCGTTCGTGGAACACGGGTTCTTTGCCGGGGCAGAGCGGACTTCTTTGTCCACCACAGGCTCTACCCCACTGGCTAGTGTCTCTGCCGAGGAGATCACCAAGCGATCGAGCGAGCCAGGCGCTTGAGTCGAAGCGGTGGAGGCCGCTATGTACTCGGCCTCGCTTGTTGGGCAGGGCAGGGCCACCACTGCCGCTTGACCGATTGCCACTAACGAGGCACTTGCCGAGGAAGAAGAGGATCCCGCTTCGTGCTCTTCTTTGGTGTCGATGTCGCCGGCGTGGTCATTGTCATTGCCAGACTGCCGAAGTGTGCGCTCCTGGGCACCTCGGGTAGTAGAGGCCGTGGTCGAGAGTCCCCGCAACGTAGCGGATGATCCTCTTCACAGACTCTTTTGGTGCTCCGTCGTCGGTCATTGCATGAACCGACTAACGTAGTCGACGGAGAATGCCAAGTCCGTGGTGTGTGGGCGAGAGGTAGCGAAGGCTCCCCACAAGACGCCGCCGATCTTGCGTGGCGTCCACCTCCTCCGTCATGTTGTCGCGGCTCGACTTGACCTCTCTCTCCATCGGAGTGAGAGCTGGGTTGCGATCGGTGAGCCTAGCTAGCTCAACGCACGCGCTTGGCGTAGGCGATCCAGTCGAGCGTGATCTCGGAGTCATCCCGTGCACCTCAATTCCCGTGTAGAAGGAGAGGGCCTCGTGGTCACTCATCCGGAAGGTGGCCTTCATCTCTTCCTTGAATGCCGCCACCTCGCATCCTTGGTGCCGGTGATCACCAAGTCGTCGGCGTAGACACCCACCAACAGAATGAGCATTACCTCCATCGCCCGTCGGTAGATGGCCGCCTCGTCGGGCTTTGCTCTCAAAGCCCATCCCTTTAGCGTGGAATCCAACTTGGCATTCCACGCCCTCGTCTCTCGCCGCAAGCCATGAGGGCCTTGCGCAGCGTGAGCACCTGCCCTCCTTGCCGGGGATCGCAAATCCCGCCGGTGGTGCACGTGACCTCCTCCTTCAAGTCGCCGTTAAGAACGCCGACTTGACGTCCATGTGATGAACACGCCACCCTCTGGGCGGCTAAGCGCAAGGAGTCGACGGACTCCATCCGTGCCCGCAGAGCAAAGGCGTCGTCGAAGTCGACCCCCTGCCGCATCGAAACCTCGTGTCACCAAGCGAGCCTTGTGCTTGACGATGGCACCGGCTTCATCCTCTTCACTTGTACACCCACTTAAGGGTGATCGCGCGCGGTGACCACGAGGAAGGTCGACCAAGCTCCCAGTCTGGTTCTTCTCAACCGCATCCATCTCCAATCGCATCGCGGCGCGCATGCCATGCCGCGTGTCTCTCGGCCTCTGCATCTGACCGGCCGAGGCTCGCCGTCGTCATCTACGCAAGGTGCAAGCTAGCGCCTCCAGTCGTGAGAGGCACCGGTCCCGGCACCATTTGGTCACCGAAAGGTTCTCCATCGTGACGGTACCGCAATGGCTCGCCGTCGTGATGCTGCGTCGATCGCGCCTCGTCGTGAGAGAGAGCGAATGCGCGAGCTCAACCGGCCGCATGCTTTCGACCACGAGTTGGAGTAGACGTGCCGGAGAGGTGCTGTCGATCTTTGGAGTGCGTGGCGTTGCCGGTACCGTGGTGGAGCAATGAAGAACTCATCGCGGTAGAGGTCCCGGCCGGAGAGCGTGGTCTTTGTCCGAATGTAGCAGCGCCGGGTTCGGTGGAGGCTCGGGGGCCCCGGGTAGATGCGCTTCGCCAAGAAGAGCCGCCTACTCCCCGCTCCCTCGAAGTGGGCGTACTCGACGATGATGAAGTCGCCGTGCGTCGGCGCCGAAACCATCGCCCACCGCTTTGTCCCACGCCCATCCTCGCCTCTTCGTCGAACACAACGCCACGCGCGCCGTCGCGCGCCTACGCCGTGTCTTTGGGTCGAGGATGCGGTAGGCCTTTGAGCCTTCTGCGTGGCCGATGAACACTCCCCGAGTGCTCACTGCCGTCGAGCTTGCTTGATGTGGCCAAGCTCCTTGGCGAACGCGAGGCGTACCAAGACCCGCAGTGGGAGACCGCCGGCTTGCGCCCATGCCAAGCCTCGTCGACGTCCCGCCGTCGGCGCCTTTGGTAGGCGGCGGTTGAGGATGTAGACGGCCGTCACCACCGCCTCTCCCGTAAGATACCGGCATCCCCTCTCGCTTGAGGAGGGCCCGAGCCATCCCCACAACCGTCCAGTTGCGCCCGCTCGACGACGCCGCTTCTGCTGCGGGTCAGACGGTAGCGGGAGTAGTGGCGTTGAATGCCCTCGTCAACGCATGACGACGCGAATTCGGCCGTCGTGAATTGGCCATTGTTGTCGGTCGCGGCGACCTGCAGCGACTTTATTGACGCGCTCGCCTCAGCAGCATGGCGGCTGCGCCGCTTTGATGGCGTCGCGACCTCTCCCCTTGTTCACCGCCGAGGACCATCACCCACATGTAGCGGGAGAGGTCGTCGACGGCGGCGGGAAATGGCGTCGTCCTCCGGTGTGGCGGTGTCACCGGGTCACACAAGTCCCCGTGCACAAGCTCGAGCCTCTCCTTGGATTGAAAGCTAGCCCATTGTGGAAAAGGGAGTCGCCTCTGCCGTCAACGCGAGACGTCGCAGAGCTGCTCCACATTGTCGAGGCACGGCGGGCCTTGCACCATCTCCGCAACACCGAGCCGCCGCAGGGCCTCAAAGTGAAGGTGCGGCAACTTCGTGCCCTTCGCCATGCCTCGTCGTCCCGACGAGCGGCGAGACAGAGAGGTTGTGCCACACCTGCACGTTAAGGGCGTAGAGTCGATTTGCGCTTCTAGATACCTTGGCAAGAAAGGCGGCGACGACGATCCCAAATCCTCATGACTCCGTCCTCAACCACCATCATGCGAACCGTTCTCATCCAAATTGTCCCAAAGTCGATGATGGAGTTCCTCAACGCGGGATGTAGTAGACTCGGTGAGCGGCTGTGCTCACCGACACGCGTGGTGAAGATGACGGAGCCGACGCCTTGATCTCCACGGAGGCATCCCCAAACTTGAGCGGAGCCCTCGGGACGCTAGAGTCAAGCTCGGTGAAGAACTCCGTCGACCGGTCATGTGATGGGTGGCGCCGGTGTCGAGGCACCACCGTCGATCTTGTCGTTGCTTGAGTGTCAGCCGAGGAGGCGTGTGCTTTTGGCTCGTCAAGGTGGAGGAGAGCAGCTGCGGCGGCAGTGCCGCCGAGGTAGCTCGATCTTCGGCATGTGCCATGAACAGAGCCGCTCCTCCTCCTCACTTTGTGTGGCGTGGGCCCGGCGCGTCGTGGTATCGACGATCCTTGGCCCAATGGCCAAGCCGCCGCGATTCGGCGAGTGTCATCTCGTGTCGGCTTGTACTGCCGTGGCCTTTGCCTGGCGCCTCATGGCATCACCCTCGGCCCGTCCTCGCGCCCGGCCTAAGCGTCTCTGCGCGCCTTGCGCTCTTCGCCACGCTTCGGCGGCCTTTGTCGCGGAAGAAGGCTCCCCCTTCCTCCGGTCACCTTAGTTGCAAGCCACCGCTGCTCCCAGTGAGAAGGAGCTTCCGCCCGATGGTGATGGGCCCCGAGGGGCTCATGGCTCATCGGCATTGTCGACGACCTTGAGGCGACCTATCGCCTCCTCGATCGACATCGTGGAGTGATCCAGCAGAGACTTCGATCGAGCGAGCCATCTACTTGTACTTCTCGGGGGCCGCAGCGGAAGAGCTTTTCGGCGCTCTCTCCTCGCCGTAGGTGTGTCGTCGCCGAATCGCACCATCTTCTTCGCAATAGAGTGTTGAGACGAGCAAAGTCATCAACGTCCTCACCGGCTTGAAGGCGGGTTCTCCCACTCCTTGCGAAGTGCACGTAGTGTGGACTTGCGGGCGCGCGATTCTTTGCCGCGCGTGCCTTGATGGCGTCCCAAGCCTCCTTGGCGATCCGCTTCTTTGTAAGCGAAGCGCATCTCTCGGGGGATCGCTGCGGCGATGAGAGCATCCAGCGCCGTCGATCTAGGTCGTGGTCGATGTCGCCGTGCATCGCATCGCCTCTCCCACATGTGCCGCACTGGAGCTTTTACCTCATCACCGCAGCCCCACTCGGCGTGAAGTTGGTCTTGGTGAGGTAGGCCACCCACTGCCGGGACCGACGTCCCGACAACGGCTTGGAGCCCGTGGTAACCACGGTGCCGATCCGGGAGAGAAACCCACAGCTGCTGTGAAGGCCACGCTCTCCATCGACCCGTCGGTACTCGATCCGGGAGAGAGACACGCACTCGTGAAGGCTGCGCTCTCCATCGACCCGTCCGCCACCGTTGCCGTCTTGCGCCTCCTCGGAGCGCCGCCGCCGTCGCGCCCTCCTCCAGAGCGCCACCGCGCGCGTCCGCGCTGTCTGGCTGCCGCCGCGCTTTGAAGCGTCTTGCGGCTGCCCAGAGCGCCACCGCCGTCGCGCCTCCTCCAGAGCGCCACCAGCCGCGTCTGTGCTGTCAGGCTGGCTGCCGCCACGCTGCGTGGGCGTCTTGCGGCTGCCTTCGCGCCGCCCGCTTTAGCGCCTCCCTCTCTAGCAGCTCGAGGTCGCGTCGGCGGTGTCGTCGTCGAAATGGAGCTGCCGATCTTTGCTGCAGAAACCTCGACCTCATTCTTGCCGCAGCGCCAGATTCGCCGCCGCCTTGCCGCTTCGCCCTCCGCTCTGGCTTGCTGCCGACTCCGCCATTGCCGACCTCGGCGCTTACCGCCGCCGCGCGGCGGCTCTGCTGCCCGCTTCATCGCGTTCTCTGCTGCCAGCGGCAAGTTCGGCCTCCTGCCGAGCGCCAGCACGTGCTTTCAAGCGACCGAAGGCCGAGATCGCCTGCGGACATGACGCGCTACTGGGGGCTAACTGCGTGGGGAGGGGCTGCCTTCGAACATTTAGCCGGGGGGAGAGTTGATCTGGAAGCGGCGGAGCTGCTCGCTTGCCGAAATTGTGGGCTGGTGGGCTGGGAGGGAGATGAGCAGGAGATGCTCAGAAGCTGAGGATAATCTGGCTCGATACAGGTTGTTGATCGCTGAATTCTCACTCTTGGTAGTAGGAGAATTCTTACTCTCATCAAGAGAGGATGACACTAGGAGTTGGGGCAATTTTCTTGTCTATTTCTCACACAAACTCACACAAATACCATACCAACCTGAGGGGTTGGGGTTACATATTTATAGGCTGCTAGCCAGCCAAGCATATGCCAAGATGCTAGTCTAAGATGCTAATATGCATGCTGTCCTCTAGTCTAAGAAGCTGTCCTGAAAATAGAAAAACAGCCACAAGGACCATGTGAGCAGCACAACCCCACAAAGACCAGCCACACATGAGACTTATCCATCATGTAAGGTGTTAAGGTGATGCATGATGATTCACGCCCCCCACAATGCCTAGGCACGTGGCGAGGCGACGCCATAAACACATCCTAAAACAAACTTAGAGTGTACTAGTTGACATGATCAATAGTAGTTCACAATTTCACACTCCACATTACAGAATAAGATAATGAGTAGTGAACAAGAAAAATCAGTATTCAAGGTCCAGAAGCTTTCAACAATCAACACCCAACTCTTGGCTCTCATGTCGATATCCATCATCATCATCATCATCATCAAACTCATCAGCATTGTTAGCAGCATCCAAGTATTCTCCCATCTTTTTTCCTTAGTTCAGTGCCAGCCTGTGGACATGAAGTCACATCTCCATAGCCACCAGCTAGATGTTTGTTAAACCTCTTAATTCCTCTTAGAATCCTTTTGTCGCAAAGCTTACATGTCACCTTATCTTGCTCCTTAAGGTCTGCCCAATATCCATAATCCCATCCTGGATCATTCGAGTTCAGGGGCCTTCGTTTTGGATCACTCTTGGGATCATATGCAGCTGGACTCTCCATTATGTTGTTGCCTTTTTGGCTGCACAGCAGAGAAGAGCCAAGCACAACCAGTCAAGCTGTAAGATTTAAGTAGAGCCAAGCCAAACCAAACACAAACAAGCAGTAGAGCAGAGGAAGCACAGGCAACAGAGCAGCAGGAAAGGGAAGACCTGGACACGGGTGATGAAGATTGAGCAGGCGCTGACTGTAGAGAGGAGGGGAGAAGCAGATTCACAGAAGTGCGGAGACCGGTGGAGAGGCACGGGTCGTGCAACAGCGGAGGCACACGGGAGAGGCGGATCAACGGAAAGGCGGGGCCGCATGGATCGCGGACCAGCGGAGACGCACATGAACGTGGTTGCAGACAAGCGGAGATGCGTGGGTCACCACCTTGCAGGGGATCTGCTCCTGTTTCTTCGGCGCCGACCACTTTCCCTTTTCTTTCTCTGTTCCCCTCTCTATTGTGCCCCAATTAACTGATATAGCCGCTTGGAACCCTCGATTTCCTGCCCCATCACTCGGTTTCCCTATCGTTTTCCCGCCCGTCTGCCCCTTTTGCACTTCCCCCTTAGATTCCCCGCCTGCCCATCCCACTCGCGTCTGTTCCCTCTATTTCCCATGAGCACACCCCTATGGCGGCCGCCTCCATCCTTCAGGACGCCCAGGCAACGCCATACACAGACTGCTAAGGCGAAGGGGACACACAGGACCTGCACACGCCTGGATGACTAGGCCACACCTTAATAACCATGGTTTGGGCTACAAAGGGTTCTGAAATGTGTCTTATAGAAACAATTTATTTCAGTGGTAAACTAAGATAATTTGTCAAAAAATGTATGGGCTGTTTTATATGGAATCCTAGATAGTTTAGTTATCCTTCTGTAATTGTGTTGTGTGTTCGCTGTAACTGTTAGACTTGATGTCTCTTAATTGTGTGAGACCAGTCCATTTTGTCATGAGGAACATTTTCAAATTCTGTAAGCACCTGCAACCTATCCTATTGTTTCAGTTTCCTATATTCATTTGCTTCTTTTGTATGTCAGGAAAAAGACTTGCAGAAGCTCCGGGATGCTAGAATTCAGCAAGATATGCTTGATCGTGAAGCTTCCATTTTACGTGCAAAAACTCAAGCAGCTTTGGCAGAGGGAATCTCATGGGGTATGGCAGAGGATGCAATAGAAGAGTCTGCAGAGGTTAGTTGTTTGTTTACCACAGCTGGTTGTGTTTTTAGTTTCAGATGAGAGCTTTTGATGGAGCTATTCTCAAGTTTAAGCTGCACACCACTTTCCTAATTCAGCTTCATATATTGCTTTGTGTTTTTACTGATCATGTTCTTGGATCTTAGGATGATGCAGATGAAATTACTTGGCAAACCTACAAAGGTCAGCTTACTGATAGACAAGAGAAAACTCGTAGCAAGATAGTAAAACGAATGGAGAAGGTAAGCACTTGGTACTGAAATTTCATATTCTTGTGTATGATTGCAAGTTCTCATTTATCCCGTAATCTACTGGGGCGAAAAATCTAATATTGTTTCATGTGAATGTGCCAATAAATACTAGGACTCATACACAGCCTTTTCCAGTTTAATTTTCAGTTGATACTCTTTCAAACATAGTCGCCAGAAACCTGGGTCGACGAGTGATGTGGATTGCAGATCGCAGGTATCTAAAAATGAAGGTCAAAGGGTTTGTTGGGATCAACTGATCCCAACTAAATTGGGTTCATGATAGGTGAGATGTAACAGGCCATGCACAAGTTAAGATTGATCACAAAGTAAAAAGAAAGTGGAAAAAAGAGAAAGAATAGTTAAATTGGCTGCTATGTGCTGGCCCATACAGCCCACCACTGTGATCCTAAGCCATTCTCATGACTAGCACAAGCACACCATCTCCCTTTTCCCCTTTAGGCAAACCAGTGCTGCCAGCCACAAATTGTTCACCTCTGGCCAGTTTCTCAAACCATTACTAGCAACATTGATTGCTCATGGGCTCCTCTTTCCTTCTGTGCCCTCAATTATTTTCCCTAATTTGCTTTGGCTACTGAAACATACTCAAGCCGGTGTCGATAGTCCTCTACAGGGTCTCTGTGGGGGTATAACCCCAGATACCCACAGAGCTGTACATGGGCCGCGCCGCTAGGGGAGGCCCAGCCCACTAGATCACATCGCGCGATGCACGACGCAGGTCGGCATGCGTCGCAAGACTACGGAGAAGAACCTTGATGACGAAGGAAGATCTGTTCGGATATGCTAAGATACCGCAATCCTTGTAACGCTGATCATGTAAACCGATCAGGATAGATTCAACCGACTTGTAACCCTACCGCCCATGCTATATAAGGTAGGTAGGGACCCCCTCGATTTCATCTGATCATAATATACAATCCACCAAAGACACTGGACGTAGGGTATTACATCGAGTTGACAGCCTGAACCTGCCTAAATCGCTGTCTCTGTGCCTGTGTCACCATCTAGTTCATATCTCGTGCATCTCCACCGATTAATCTACTATCGTGGGCATACCCCTCGGTAGATTGCCGATCATATTTCTTCGATAGTGGCGCGCCAGGTGGTCCGCTTCCCCAGCTCCATGGTCCTTCCCGAGCCAGACCAGTCATTCACAATTGGATCTATGATCTGGGTCATCGGCGCCAACGGCGTCGGGGAGATCGTGTAGGCGGTGCAGAATCACCCTGCGCTGATTGTGCCAACGTCTACAACATCTCCGATCCTGGCGCCTCGCCGCTGGGTTAGGAGATCCATCGACCAGGATGATCTAATCACATCTATCGATCGGGTCACCAACGTCTTAGCCGAATGCCTGTCTCTCACGGAGTCGGTCTTAGATTGATCTACTGTGAGCGACCAAGTTCCTGCTCTCCGAGGTCGCCATGCCGCTATGACCGAGCAATCTGCTCGGCCGCCTCGTCCGGGGTGGCAAGATTCCGATATGGTGATCACGGCTACTCTAGAAGGGCGCACGGTGCGACGCCGACCACTTCCTGCCACCGGCCTGCGCGTGGTCGATTATGAAGCCTCGACGGAGAACATGCCGAAGCCCTATCCTTTTGGGCTGGTGGGTGCGGGATCCGCGTATCAAGATGTCGTCCACCACCTTTTCATCGACCACGCCGAGCGCGACCACATCGACGACCTCTACATGATTGATCTTCCTAAGGCCGCTAAATGGGCCTAGTGGAATACACAATCAAGGCCGTGTGTACATGGGCTGCAAAGTGAAGTTAAGTGCTAAGCACTGTTTTGTTGATATTTTCGGGGTTTCCAAGTATTTTTTCTTTGATCCTGCTACAAAATTTCTCCTTAATCTTCCAGCAGGCTCATGGACTATGTGTATACACGTCATCTAGCGATGACTGTACTATTTTTTTCTATATCAGATTTTTCTCAGCTAAGCTGGGGACTAATTTCCAGTTAAGTTGGGGACTGGTTTGGCACCTGAAGTCTACTATTTTGGACACTGGCACCACGTGAATACTTCACCTATTGTCAGGCTCGGGGACTAAGTGGGTACACTTCACCTTGCGGTGAATGTTCTTATTTCTAGGACCCAATGTTTTCCTAAACGTAAGCTCTCTGTTTGGCTCTAAGAGCCACCTTTTGCCTAAAGCATAGATGCTAAGCATCTATCTTCGTGCACGAGGGACTAAGTTCCTCCGTACTGACTAAATCAGGGATGCTAAGCATCTAACTTCGCCACATGGAACCTAAGTGGGCACACTTCGCCTAAGGTGAAGGCTTTAATTTTTTTTTACTTGAGCTCCTTACATCCTTCTGGCAAACCTTAGCTTTGAGTAAGTCTGAGGTCGGCCGGCCAGATAAACTGGTCGGACGTTCGATTTAACTTCTCGGCTTCCAGTTAAATTGGTTGGACGCCTGCTACTGTTGATCGGCTACACGTTGAACTACTCGGACAAGCTCAAGACGACGTTGCTCAGCGGATACAAGGCGCTCGAGGACTAGCTGTGGGGGTATAACCCCAGATACCCACAGGGCTGTACATGGGCCGTGCCGCCAGGGGAGGCCTAGCCCACCAGATCACGTCGCGTGGTGCACGGCGCAGGTCGGCGTGCGTCGCAAGACTACAAGGAAGAACCTTGATGACGAAGGAAGATCTGTTCGGATATGCTAAGATACCGCAATCCTTGTAACGCTTATCATGTAAACCGATCAGAATAGATTCAACGACCTGTAACCCTACCCCCCATACTATATAAGGCGGGTAGGGAACCCCCTCGATTTCATCTGATCATAATATACAATCCACCAAAGACATAGGACGTAGGGTATTACGTCGAGTTGACGGCCTGAACCTGCCTAAATCGCTGTCTCTGCGCCTGTGTCACCATCTAGTTCATATCTCACGCACTTCCACCGATTAATCTACTACCGTGGGCATACCCCTCGGCAGACTGCCGACCATATTTCGTCGACAGTCTCCACCTCCAGCATCTTGGCAGCGACGATCTCTTGCACTCCCCTTTTTCTCCTCTCCATTGTTCCTTAATATGAGGCAAAGACAGCAACCCTGCCTCTTCTGGGCTGTCAACCCTGTTCAACCTGACCCTCTAGGGGGGATGGTGTGCAGGTTGAGGAACACACCTTTGATCCCGATTCATGTGCTATGTTTTCAAATGCCTTGGTGATATTGTGATGACTGAGGAACAAATGTCTATGTTTTGGAATATTCTTTCATTGTCTCCATTATTTTTTGTTTGGTTTCCAACAATGAAACATAAATGGAGCTATTGGAGTAGTAATTTCTTCTTAAACTGCATGTAGAGTATATTAGTAGTTATATCATCACTAGAGCTATGCTTGTGTTCCATACTGCCTGCTGTTTAGAAGTGTGAAAACTAATTTTAAACTCTTTATTGTACCGATCCAGATGACATGTTCTGGAGCAGGTCCTATAGCTGACACATGTGGGTCCTTATAGTGGACCCACAGTGTTGTGTTGTAGTACATGTAACTTACACTTGGCATCAATTGTTGCTTCACATGATTCATTATTAATTAATTTTCGTTTATTGGGTTAGGGTCGCGGTCTCCTCGCATTGCACAGGTGAGGGTAAGGCTTGCCACTCACACCCTTTCCCAGACCCCGCACAGAGCGGGAGCTCTCTGCACTGGGTACACTCTTTTTTTCGTTTATTGGTTTATGGGCATGCCTGTTGTCACAAATTATTGTGAACCTTTCACAAATTATTCTAAAAAATAAAATGAAGACAAATGTCGACAGGAAGTAACCCTTGGGCGCCGAAATAGCGCTTCCCGCGAACGGCCCTTGCCCGCACTATCATGGATCGATCACTGCTCGAACACTAGTGCAAGAGCATAAAGACATGGTGTAGCTCATCGTAGGTTAATCGTTGGGAATCGATCGATAGGTTTCAGCTCTCATCGTTGCCATGAAACACGTCGTAGAGTACCGAAATTGTGGTCCATGACCCTAAATGTACAAAACTTATCAGTTTGGAGCCCGAATCGAGCGCGGTTTTTTTTGTTTGACGCAGAATGCCATCTGTTATCCAATGTAGAGAAAATTTAAAAATTTAGAGTAACTATTTTTTTTTGAAAAATAAAATGAAGACACAAATGTCAATAGGAAGTAACCCTTGGGCGCCGAAGTAGCGCTGCCTGTGAACGGCTCTTGCCCGCATTAGCATGGATCGATCACTGCTCGAACACTAGTGCAAGAGCATAAAGACATGGTGTAGCTCATCATAAGTTAATCGTTGGGAATTGATGGATAGGTTTTAGCTCTCTTCGTTGCCATGAAACACGTCGTAGAGTACCCACATTGTGGTCTATCACCCTGAATGTACAAAACTTATCCGTTTGGAGCCCGAATCGAGCGCGGCTTTTTTTTTGACTCAGAATGCCATCTGTTATCCACTGTGGAGCGAATTTAAAAATTTAGAGCAACTATTATTTTCTAAAAAATAAAATGAAGACACAAATGTCAACAGGAAGTAACCCTTGGGCACCGAAGTAGCGCTTCCTGCTAACGGCTCTTGCCCGCACTGGCATGGATCGATCACTGCTCGAACACTAGTGCAAGAGCATGAAGACACGGTGTAGGTCATCATAGGTTAATCGTTGGGAATTGATCGATAGGTTTCAGCTCTCTTCGTTGCCATGAAACACGTCGTAGAGTACCGAAATTGTGGTCCATCACCCTGAATGTACAAAACTTATCTGTTTGGAGCCCGAATCGAGCGTGGTTTTTTTTTTGTTTGACGCAGAATGCCATCCGTTATCCACTGTGTAGCGAATTTAAAAATTTAGAGCAACTATTGTTTTCTAAAAAATAAAATGAAGACACTTGACACTATGTTTAATATATCAGGGTGATGCCACTTGACAAAGATCAATCAGTGGATAGAAATAAACGACTAGTTGTGCAAAAGCGCGGGGCTATATGAGCAGGGTCCATGCTACAGTGTCATCACTCTACGCTTCATGCCAGTTACACAGCCTGACTTCATACACCATGCAGGAATTGATGAGTCAAGGGCTTAAACACACATAGCTTCTTTCCTGTTCTAAAGTAAACTAGAACCTAATTTTGGTTTTGTCAGTGCTATGCTGGATAGTAAGAATGTAAAGTCCAGCATGTCCCTTTATGTTTGTACAGTGCTGAATCAAGAGTAGCATGAGGCAGTGGCAGCCATCATGTTGCTAGCTATTAGTTCTATCATCTTCAGGAAGTCCTTGCTTTGGGTATCGACAATTGTTAAGTTTTTCCTCATAGAACACTTGTTTACACTTTTTAAGGGGCCCTGCTTTACATTTCTGTTAAAGGCTTTAATGCAATTGTTCCTCAAAACCCCTGGCCATTCAATAAGGACAATCTCTTCAGCTAGCTAAGGACCCTCATGCCAAATCCTCCAGTTGCTTAAAGAAAAGGCTGCAAGCGTATTGCCTCATGTGTTGGTTGTAAAGGGTCCTGCTATTGATGCTGTGCACTTGTGGTAATCATGCCTGTGGAGTGATAGATTGAAACTACACTTTTTACACGATTGTATTTCTGCTTTCCATGAATCTTTACTTGCTATTCTTTGTTTCAGATTGGCAACATGAAAAAAGAAATTGATGCAATAAGAGTTAAGGACATTTCTCAAGGTGGGCTAACCCAAGGTCAACAGACACAAATTGCACGAAATGAACAACGGATATCTCAGGTGAGGACATTCCTATGCTTACATTTGTTAATATGTAACTGTCCATTTCTCATCTAGTGAGCAGGACTAAATCATATCTTTTTTTCAGATTATGGAGGAGCTAGATAATCTAGAAGAAACTTTAAATGACAGTATACGGGAAAGTATTGGTGCTTGTTCTGGAAAGGCAAAGCGTGGCAGCCATAAAGCAAGTCTCGAGGAAGAAGATGACATTCTTAGGTATGTACACTGATAAGTTCGACCTATGACTGCTCACTGCTACATCATGTATAATATCTATGCATTGGGATTTTAGTATCATATACCTTTTAGTAATGTTTAGTATGCTTAAAGCTAGAATGCTAGATTATTATATATTGACTAATGGATTGTTAAATAATTTAGTGACGATGATGAATTTTTTGATCGAACGAAGAAGAAATCTAGTCAGAAATCAAGTGAGCAACAATCAGTTGAGACTGCTGATAGCCTTCTTGAGAAAAAAGATTTCATCACCAATGATATTGAAAGTAAAACAAAATTGCTCGAAGAAGAGAAGCATAAGCTGTCTGAGAGTGATACTCCAGATCTCAGGGATGACCTTGATGCTTATATGAGTGGCTTGTCATCTCAATTAGGTATGCTTGTACGCTCCAGTTACTTCAATTGAACATTCATGGGTCTTTGTTTATTTTAATCTTTGTTACAAGCCTGATATCATCAGTAGTGACCCTGACGGCTGTATGTTTGCTACTTCTTTTGTACGGAGTAGAACCATTGAAATTACTATATTAAATTTTGTAAGTAACAAAAACATGGGAAAAGGAGACCTATACGGCTATACCTGCTACCTAGAAGTCTTAACTGGAATGTTCCTTAGGCCTCTATTTGAGAGCAGTTCCCTTCAGTTTTGCAAAATCACTAGCTTCCATATTCTATAACAATGGAAGCAAGTAACCCTAAGCTATAGAGAACCTTGGTCATGACCTTGAATTTCATGAAATTCAGAGCTGCCAATTCTTGTTGGGATTTTAACTGTGGCTTGAGCACAGCCTTATGCTCTGATTAATGTGTTACTGTAGAGGATCCACTCATGTGCACACAAAAGCTTTTAGTAAAAAGTATATATGCTTCTTTATTGATTTTCACTAAAATGGTAACTCTATTATTAAGTGGCTGAAGCATACATGATGTAGAATTAAGTTACCAGAGTATATGATGTTGCACATGTGCTATTTTCTCAGGATGAGCATTGCTTTGTTCTGCCATGAGGCATATGTTTAGTCTTTAACATTGATGAACTAACCTAAAAGTTACGCATTGCTTCCCACTTATTTCTGCATTTGTTTCTGGTTTAGATGCATTTCTCAGTCTTATTATCTTGCTAATTTGAGATATCTTGCAGTACATGATAAGATTGCCCGAATTCAGAAGGAACTCTCTGATCTTCAGGATGAGCTGGACAGAGTAGTTTACCTACTGAAAATAGCTGACCCTATGGGAGAAGCAGTTTCTAAGAGGGATCTAAAGCCAAGAGAAGCGAAACCTCCAACATCTAATGATAATCCAAGACTAGAATCAAAGAAACAAAATAAAATTGGAAAAGCTACAGCTGAGGAGAAACCCAAGGATTCTTCTAGCGAAGTAGGCACAGATAAACCTGCTAAATTACAGGCAGATGTCTCTAAGAACCAAGAAGATGGCAGCAGACCTGCATTTGCCATGCCAAAACCTCAATGGCTTGGTGACAGAAGGATCATAGAACCTGAAGAAAACTTTATAAATAAAGAAAAGTCTGATGCAGAGGAGCCTGATAATTTTGTGGACTACAAAGACCGGAAAACCATTCTTTCTTCTGGCAGTGGAAAGGAGCTTGAAGAGGCCGCCCCTGGGCTTATTTTACGAAGAGAAAGTCTGCTGACCAGTCAGTTGCCAGCGAGGCAAATTCATCTTCAGTTGAAAGTGAAGCATCAGTTGCTGATGCTGTGGCCCTTCTGCTTAAGCATAAACGTGGTCTACAAACCTTGGAAAGAAATGGAGAATGAGAATGAACCAGATTCTAGCAAGAGAGAAGGAAGAAGTCTAAACAAAAAGCGTGTATTGGGCCCAGCAAGACCAGATTTCCTTGAAGCCAGACCAGAATCTGAAACATGGGTGCCACCTGAAGGTATGGAAATTCTACTAATGTGTTACCAATCCATAGCATGCTGGGTCCATTGTTAATGCCATTGTTGAATCTTCTGTAGGTCAAACTGGTGATGGTCGCTTTTGCTTGAATGACCGTTTAGGTTATTGAAAAGTTATTCCAGCAACAACGCCCCGTGGAGAAGTGCAGTATGGTGCTTATGGTGTTGTGAGCTTGTTTGGGGCCATATTCTGTGAAGACATTGCTATAGAAGCTGAGATTGCTTATTCTGTTGATGGCAAGTTTGGTGAAGGAACTAGGTTTCGTTGACCTAGTGGTCTATGCTAATTCTCTCACTTTCTAAAGAGAGTACATAGGCTATACAGGCTGTTAGAGGTTTAATGTATATCACCACCATAGAGTGTACATTTTGTACTCTCACTTGTCCTGTTATTTTGCACTGGCACCGCGTTTGTTCATTCTAAATTCACCAACCTTTTAACCGCGAGCGTTAGTTTTGGTGTTTAGCAACAGCAGGCCAGCAGCATGGCTTTGTAATTTCAAGTTGAACGAATTCACAGGGCTTGTTTGTCTAAGTGCAGGCACATAATTTTCCCCTACCTCTAGAACTTAGCTGGTGAAAGTTTTTTTTAAACCCCGGCTCCGCAGCAACCAGGATGGCGGGGACTGCTCTTGAAAGTGTTGAGTGCAGGAGTTGCAACGTCACTATAGGGACCCGCACACAGCTTTTTCCTTCTTGTGTAGCAGACAAGCCAACCAGATTGGATGTGAGTAGAGGATGAACCAAATTGGCATCCCTCGAACTAGAAGTTGGCATTAACGGACCCAGTGGGAGAAGCGGTTCTCAAATTCTCTCGGTAAGCATCGTCGCTCTTTGTATTTTTTTTTTTTTTTGGTAATCTCTATGGGTGTGTTTGGTTATGAACATGCCTCTTAGCCAGGCTCTAGCTGGCCATCCACAGGCTCTTGGCCACTCCACCGGTCTGTTACAAGCCACTCCTCCACCAGTCTGTTCGGGAGGCCGTATCGTATCGTGGATTATTTACTGTTGGCTGGTTTGGTGTAAGAGAAAAACACTGTTCCTGGCTGGAAATTTACGATCGTTTACGAGCAAGCGAACAGCCTGTGAGCCATCTGATGCAGTAAAGGATCAATCTTAGACTCTAGCCTTATGCGCTTCTCCCAAAGAGTAACCAGGACATGGCAATCAATTTCTAGCGGGAGTCGCTGCACCCCTTGCTCACGCGCATACTGCATTCCATCGTGACAAGCCATTGCCTCTGCTGCTAGCGCGTTCAGACAATGCTCATACCATCTCACTTTTCCATCGCTTGTCCTTCCTTCGTGGTCCTGGTGAACCACCCCCGTCGCTCCTGTACGATCCCCGACATGATAAGAAGCATCAACATTGCACTTCATCCACCTGGGTAACAGCCTTTGCCAGCGCTATGGACTTCTCGATGCAGGCCCAATGACCTTAGCTGGAGCAGCTGCCATAGGTCAAAGGCTCTTTTGCCTACTGCACTGCCACTCTCATCGGCACCCCTTCCTCACCATGCTGCCGCTTGTTCCTCACCATCCACAATGTCCACATACCACATAAAATAAACAGCAGCATCCTTTCCTGAGCAAAAACCGGGATCAACTAGCTCATGCGCCCAAGTGAGAGGGTGCAAGCGCGGCACCTTAACACTTGTGAGCACCTTTGCTTGATCCCAACAATACTTGGCCATTGTGCAATCCATAAGGATATGCTTTATTGACTCCTCCGCCCCACAGACATCGCAATTCGCAATGGATTCAATGTGTCTCCTATGCAGGATCCCTTTTGTCGGTAGGAAGCCGTTCACCACCCGCCACCGGAAGTCCTGGACCTTCAGACGAACACACATCCTCCATATACGCTTCCAAGTTATATCACCCGACGAAGATGCCAGGTCCTCCTCCATTTGTTGCCACTGATCATCATAAATCCGTCGATACGCCAAGCGAACCATATAGAGACCATGTCTTTTCAGTTCCCAAGCCCAGGCATCGTCCCTAGTACCCCTAATATGTGTACTTAGAATAGCGTGAGCATCAACATCCACAAAGATTTGTTTGATTTGATCAGCTCGGTGTCAGGAGGTCCACCACATTAGCTTGTGGGTTATCAGGTATGGTGATCGGTCTCCTGCCAAAATGATTTGGGATCAACCGGTCTTGCCATATACTCGTCGAACTCCCATCTCCAATTCTTCACAAGAGCCCCTTCTGTAACACCTCCGTCCCTGCCAGAATCGCTTGCCACATATGGCTTGCGTGCTTCTTCCATGCAGCCGTCAGGAAGATAGTATCTTCCTTCCAGTACCCTTGCACACAACAAATTTGGATCCTCAATCAGTCTCCACCCTTGTTTCCCCAACATAGCTAGGTTGAACAATTTTAGATCTCGAAAACCCATTCCACCATATGGTTTCAGCCTCGTTAGCAGTTCCGCCCAGCGCTGCCAATGCATATGCCTGTTATCTGCTGAGCCGCCCCACCAATAATTGGAGATCACCGTTCTCATCATTCGGCACGTACATTATCTTTGGGGACTAGAAAGCAGCTCACAGGATAGGTAGGAACTACTTGTGCAATTGATTTTAGCAGCACCTCCCTGCCGGCACAGCTTGCTTCGCATCCACTCCAAGCCCCTCAGTCTGTTCAGCATGTACTCAAAGGCTCCCTTTGTCACACGCCCCAGAGCAGTTGGTCGACTTAAGTATTTCTCTGCCAAAGCTTTTGTCTCGATCTATAGCACTGATCTCACCTCTACTTTAATTGCATCCTCACAGTTGGTGCTAAAAAACATAGCTGATTTATCTTTATTCGCCAACTGTCCCGAGCCTCTGCTGTAGATGTTCAGGATTTCCTGTAGCCGATCGGTCCCCCTCCGTGACGCTTCTGAAAAAACAAAGCAATCATGGGTGAAAGAAGATGCGAAATCCAAGGGGCATGAATACCCACATGTACCCCCCCTTGAGAGATGCACTGGCCCAACTGACATTAGGAGACAAGAAAGTCCCTCCAACGAGATAGGGGGAAATAGTATCACCTTGGCGAGGTCTGAAAGGGCTTGACAGTCGGCCATTCTCCCGCAATAAGAAAGACACTAAAGTGACATCTCAACGATATTCACAAAGCTCTCTGAAAAGACCAATATGTAAAGAAAATGGACCTTACTTTGGATTTTGGTGTTTGATGACCAACACACCTAAATTAGACTAAAGAATTTACAAGTGATTGTCTTATAGTTTAAAAGGGTGCAAGACGTGACTTGGACGAAGGCGACATGACGATCCGATGATCAACACCTTAAGCAAGACTCTAGAAGCACGAGAGAAGACCCAAGATATCAAGTAAAGTCCAAACACGAAGATAGCAACCAAGCTGGACGCAAGATCGCGAAGAAACGAGCTTCATAGAGGTGACCGGACGCGGCCTTTATAGCGACTGGACGCGTCCGATCAAGATGCTCGGCAACAGCAGGCGTCAGCAGCAGCGACCGGACGCTAAGGACTCAAGTGACCAGACACGACGATGGCACTGTTCATCATCTCGGCAACACATCGACAGTGACCGGACACTGGCGGATGATCGACCGGACGCAGGAACTGCAGCGTCCGATCGAGTCCAGAGAGGTTCTAGAGCGGCGGCAGCGCGACCGGACGCGTTCGATCGACAGTGACTGGACTGAACACCGAGTCCGATCAACACGCGCGCTCCAACGGTCGGGGCGACCGTACGCATCCGGTCAGGACGACAGCAGCGTCCGGTCAATAGCAGAAAGCTAGGTTTCGTCCCCAACGACTACTTTCTCAGTGGGGCTTATAAATAGATCCCCAACCGGCCATTTGAGTAGTGGAGAGCTGAGGAAACATACCAAGGGTGTTCATACACCATTTTAGTGATCTCCACTGGCATAGTGCTTAGTGATTCATTAGGTGATTAGCGTAGGTGCTTTGCGAAGTGCTTAGGTTGATTAAACCACCGCTTATGCGCTTGCTCTAGGTTTAGGCCTAGTGTTTAGTGAGGTTTGCATATCTCTTACCACTCGGTGCTTGTGCGCACCATAGTTGTACATCGGAGGGGCTTGTAGTCTTACGAGATCACACCAACCGCGTTTGTGGTGTGGCCGCCACCGTGTACCGGAGGGAACAAGGCCCGCGGCGTTTCGGTCGGAAGCATGATAGTGAAGACGGCGGAGAGTGGTTTGGGAGAGGCTTGCCGGAAGGCACACCGGAGACCTACTTGCGCGTGGGGAAGGCCCGGAGCTATCCACGGAGTTACCCGACTAGAAGCTTGGTCCTTGCGAGAGGCTCCAACGAGGACTAGGGGAAGCTTACGCGCTTCTCGATACCCCGATAAAAATACCGGAGTCATCGACGAGAGTTTGCATATCTCTACCTTACTCTTTAGCTTCCGCATTTACATTGTTTACGTAACTCTTTTTGCGTTAGAGATAGCAACACACTAGCAAAATCGTAGTTGCACATTTAAATATTTTATCTTTTACATAGGTTTTGCTAAGGTTAGAATTAGAGGTCATAGCTTAGAGTTAGCGTTTTAAGTTGCCTAATTTATCCTCCTCTTAGGCGTCACGATCCCCTACACAATCATAGCATAATTTCATGTAGATAATTCCATTCCACCCGGTCATAAGCCTTTTCCATATCCAGCTTGATAGCACACGCCCTAGTCTTCCCTTTCTTCCTCTTGAGATAATGGGTGCACTCACAGGCAACAAGCACATTGTTTGTGATCAACCGTCCCAGAAAGAACACGCTTAGTTCTGTAGAAATAACCTCATCCAGAAACACCCGAAGTTTATTAGCAAGCACTTCAGAGCATAATTTATAAACGACATTCCAGAGCGAAATCGGCCTAAAGTTCTTGAGATCTTGCGAATGCTTTATTTTTGGAATCAGGACAATTGTTGTTTAATTTATTCCTTTCGGCATCCGCCCACCATTCAGAAAGTTCAAAATAACATTTGTGATGCTTGGGCCGACAATTTCCCAGTGAGCCTGGTACCTGTTGTAAAACCATTTGGACCTGGTGCCTTATTGGCACCCATCATGAACAAAGCTTGTATATGGATTCTCCCGTGCCTCATTCATCACATTTGTTACCCGAGCCGGCACATGGACCAACACCTTCTCTAGGTCCGACTCTGGTTGGGCCATAAACAAGTCCCTATAGAAGGTAGAGGCCATATCCTCTAACTCTTCCTGGCCTGTAACCAACAACACCATCAATTGAGCGCAAAGCACTAGTTTGATTAC